AGGTCTGCTTGGCTGTCACTCCATAGTACTTTTAAATGAGAAGATGTCTATAATTTAGCAGTTCAAAAGGTTAAAAGTGTGATTACAAGGTATTCATTCTGGAAGGATACCTTTACCCACCTCTCTGAGCCAGCGAAGAGGAATTCTGCTTGAATGTTTCTCTCTGTCTCCACTGTGCAGTTCTCACCCCACAGTCATCACCGCCTAAAAATAGGACTTGAGCCTCCTCTCACCAAGTCTCAGTCTCAACCCTCTTGTCCTGATCTGTTTCAAGGGCTCACACTGATTTGAATTTCAACCTCTCCTTCCCCTTCCCATCCCTCCACCTCTACTCTCTGCTTCGATCCTCATTGCTTTTCTCGTTTCTAACCTCCTGTTGGTCCCCTTGACAGCCTGCATGCCAGGGGCCACTTTCCTGGCTGAGGACATGATTTCCTTCTCCTCCAGGGCTGTGTCGCCAGTGCCCCTTGGCCACTCTGGCTCAACTCCATTCCTGGGACAAGCTGCCCCCAACCCTTTCCCACGCCAATTCAGTGCAGTCTCCGACCCTCCTCCCTCAAGTTTCCAACCCTCGTGAGTGGAAATGCACGGAGCAGCTCCCGTGTGCCAGGCACTGATCCCAGCGCTAGGGGTGCAGACACCACCGAGGAGATCGTGGTGTTGCGACAGACAAGTCACCAGAGTTCTGACACAACACAGTGAGGGTTGTAACACAGGTGTGCATGGGACGGCCATGTCGTGGTAACAGCCAGGTCGTCTCCTCTGAGGCTGAGGTGGAGGTTGGAGGAGGCTTCACAGATAAGGTGAAGACTTACCTGGATCTAGAAGCATGAGTAGGAGTTTTCCATAATTTCCCACCAGCTGGGTTGCCATGGTTATAGCTCTAGTAGGCGACTGAAGCTTAGGGAGTAAGGGTAGAGCAGAGGGGAGGAAGTAAAAGGGTGGGTCGTTCAGAGCTTTTCCTACCCTCTCCTCAATCCTTTAAGGTGGAGGAAAAGTGACATTCCTGACCAGAGTTTCATTCTTCTGCTAGTGTGGAGAAATTCCTCCTCTTCTTTCCACTTTGTGAGAACAAAATGGTGGTGGTGGTGGTGGGGGAGATTACTTGAGTAATTTCCTTTTCTATGGTAATAACTACCATGTTTTTATTTATTTTATTTTTTTTTTTTAAAGATTTTATTTATTTATTTTTTCCCCCCAAAGCCCCAGTAGATAGTTGTGTGTCATAGCTGCACATCCTTCTAGTTGCTGTATGTGGGACGCGGCCTCAGCATGGCCGGAGAAGCAGCGCGCCGGTGGGAGCCCGGGATCCGAACTCGGGTCGCCAGCAGTGGAGCGCGCTCACTTAACCACCAAGCTACGGGGCCGGCCCTTCTACCATGTTTTTAAAGGCAGTTACTGTTTGCTAAAGACTACTGCGTTCTAGAGAGTTCCTCTTACTGGGTACGATGTTCTCAGTTCAGAGACGCACCGTTGGACGCCCCACCTGCTGGTGAGAGCTGGAAGTTGAGAAGTCCCATCAAGCTGTCCCCAGGGCTCCCTCCTCCTTTCCCTCAGGCATCCTGGAGCCCAGGAGCCCTGACGCGTGTCTTGCGGAAGAAGTTCAGATGCGTTTGGTCCTCTTTCCGTGGGTCGACGGCGGTGAAGGGCACCGAGTGCGGCGGAAGCTGGGCGTGGGGGCCAGGGGCCAAAGCGCAGGCGTTAGGCCCAGGTCTCTGCTCCTGTAGTGACCGCAGTTGCTGGAGCAGAATTTCCTGCACCAGGAGAGGGGGATTCTTTGAGGATGGACTGTACATCCTCCAGGGCTACACTCTCCCAGGGGGCGGACAGCCAAATCCCCTTCTCATGTTATTCCCCCCCCCAGACCCCGTCCACTGAAGCCAGGCTGCTCCGGGATAGTGCGGATGGGGCCCAGCTTCTCAGTAACTTCGCAGGATGGCAGCAGCCGAGCTGACCTGCAGCCCAGCCCTTGCTTGAGATGCTGCCGTGGCGGGGCCTCAGCTCACCAACCCAGCTCCTCACCCGCAGTTTTTCAAGGGAAGGGGTTACGCTCTGTTGCGAGGACCCTTGTCGTTCCTAGTAGAGCCACAGTCTCTAGGGTTGTTGTTTTTAAAATGCACTGGTCTTGAGGGGTAGGCAGAACCAATGATAGCATCAAGCACTTTAAAGACCCAGAATCCCCATCTTACACTCCTTTCTGGGTTTATCACGAAGGCTGACCCTAAGTCTCACATCTCTTGATTCGGTTGGATCTGTTGCCTTTTCATATTTCTGGATCCTTTTCTGGGTTGCCCACATTCACCTCCACGCATCTCCCTAACTCCAGCTCTCAGGGCCCCTAACCCTCCCCAGAGCCCTGCATATGAGGAGGGGCCCCTTCACTCAATTAAACATCAGGCCCACTAGAAGTTTCCTCAGGTGAGGAGGACTCTGAAGACCTCTTCAGGGGTAATCTATACCAAACACTCAGCAATTTCTTTTCTTTTCTTTTTTTTTGTGAGGAAGATCAGCCCTGAGCTAACATCCATGCTGATCCTCCTGTTTTTGCTGAGGAAGACCAGCTCTGAGCTAACATCTATCAGCAATTTCTTTTGCTGAATAAGAAAGAAAAGATCTGCTACATATCTGTTACCTCGTTTAATCTTCATGATAATCCTATGAGGTAGGTATCCCTGTTACCTTCATTTCAGAGGGAAGAATGCTGAGGCCCAGTGACATGAAGGAACTTGCCCAAGTTTTCCATGGTCAGTAACAGAGCAGAGATTCAAAGCCAGCTCTGTTGGATGCGCAGGCCCGTCAGACATGTGGTCCCACCACAGAAGGAAGAGCTTCTCATCCTCAGTGGGTAATATTCACCTGAGAGTAAAGGATACAGTGCAATGAAGGCTGAAAGCAGAAATGGGTTGCATATGGACCCACTGACACATGTTATTTCTGTTTGGTTTTGTTCTCTGTGTCCGTTAAGGTCTTGAATTGTGTCCCCCCCCAAATTCAAATGTTGAAGTTCTAACCCCCACGACTTCAGAATGTGACCGTATTTGAAGACAGAGCCTTTAAAGATGTGACCAAGGTAAAATGAGGTCATATGGGCGAGTTGTAATCCAATATGACTGGAGTCCTTACATGAAGAGGACGTTGGGACACAGACATTCACAGAGGGAAGACCATGTGAAGACAAAAGGGAGATGACGACCTTCTATAGCCAAGGAGGGAGGCCTCAGAAAAAACCAACCCTGCTGACGTCTTGATCTTGGACTTCTTGCCTCCAGAACTGTGAGAAAATAAATTTCTGTTGTTCAAGCCCCCCATTCTGTGGTACTTTGTTACGGCAGCCCTAGCAGCCTAGTACAGCATTTATAGCTCTCGCTACTGATAGTGTTTCTCATGGTGTTGGCAAAGCTGGTTCCCGTAAAGAATAAGTAGGCCCAATGACATTTCCTTGACAGAACTGCTTCCCCCAAGAGTATTGTCACAGGTTCAAGGAGGAGAGACCAGAAGCTGGAAGTGGTTGTTCCCGTGAAGAAAGAGGCTTCCTGTGTGTTTCCTTCCCGTCGTGGTGTTATGCTTAGCCACCATTTAAAGCATGGAGGAGTCATCTCTATTGAACAGTCGGAATGTGAGATGCTTCACACACATCTAATCCTCACAACTGTCCTCTGAGGTGACTGCTAGCATTCCCATTTTGCAGGTGGGAAAACTGAGCCATTAGGAGAATAGGCAATGTGTGGAATTTTACAGAGTGAGTGGCAGTAAAGACCCAGGCTTTTCACTACTATGATTTTGACTGCTATGACTCACTGCCTTCCTTCCCCACCACTTCTCAAACTTCCCCAGTGGAGCATTACACCCTGCGGACTAGAGTGAAAGGCTGGGTCTCGCCACTCAGAGTGTGCTCCTTGGACCAACAGCAGGTGTTACCTGGGAGTTTGTTAGAGCTGCGGAAGCCCAGCCTTACCCAAGACGTGCCCAAGCAGAACCTGCATTTTCTCTTTTTGTGAGGAAGATCGGCCCTGAGCTAACATCTGCCAATCCTCCTCTGTTTTTGCTGAGGAAGATCCGTGCCCATCTTCTTCCACTTTATATGGGACGCCGCCGCAGCATGGCTCGACAAGCGGTGCGTTGGTGCGCGTCTAGCATCTGAACCGGCGAACCCCGAGCCTCCGCAGCGGAGCGCGCGCACTTAACCGCTTGCGCCACCGGGCCGTCCCCCAGAATCTGCATTTTAACAAGAGCCCCAGGCAGGACCAGCCAGAGATTTGCAGGGCCCAGTGCAAAACGAAAATGCAAAGCCCCTCGTTTAAAAATTAGTAAGAATTTCAAGACAGTGGCAGCAGAGCATTAAACCAAGGGTGGTGGGACCACACAGGCCTCACTCCCGTGGGGCCGGCCCCACCCACAGTGACAGGCATGTGCTCTGAAGCATGGAAGCCTCACCCTAGAGGATTCAGTGAGCAGCCCTTCACCAGAGAGTGGGTTTTAGTTTTATTTTATCTTTTTGCATTTTATCTTAAAAATACAAAAAGTTTGCATTACGTCCCTTAATATATCCATTGAACTTACCATAAAGTAACATTTACCCCACAAAACCTGGAAGGAAAATCGATACTCTTGGCTGATGCACCATGTTTTCCTATAACGTCAACAGCCTGCTGCACTCTGCCCATTCCAGTACACGCATCCCAGCTTGAAAAGCCTGGGGTCGGCCCACCTTAGGTACAGACCACAGAGCCCTTGGTTAAACGTTTTTAACAGAATCACCTCATACGAGTTTCATGCCCCTTTCTTGCAAGAAGCTGAGTGTTCATGTAGTATCACCCTGGACCAGTAATTTAAGCTCTCTGAACCTCAGTCTTCCTATCTATAAAATGGGATAGTGTGTACTGATAAAAATAATAAGAATAATAATAAGTTTTCACAATTGAAGTATATGGGGAAGTCATTCTGGTTTAAATCTGATTCGGCCTAAAACTTGTTTTTCCCAGAGCAGCCTTACTATGGCCCACCAAACATGCATTGTACATCTGCTTCAAACGTTTTCCCAAAGCAAAGACTGTGGTCTTTAAAGATAGGGAAGTAATGTCTCTGTCTCTCTGATGCCAATACCAGTACTTCTTTGAAGATAAGCTTTTCTTCCCAGAGAACCAAGCTCAACTTGACCTGCTGTGTATAGGCTAAACTGCAGCAAAACCTCTTCTAGTGACTTTGGGAAAAACATTGTATTCCTGTCATGCTTGATATATGTTCTTTGTTCTGAAATGGCATATAACCAGGCTGTAAACCACACTTCTCCAGAGTGCTTTCTTCCCTGGGGAAGGGAACACTTCTGGGCTAGTCCTCAGCACTGGCTCAGTAAATAGCAATAAATTTCACTCTCTCTTTCTTATCTATAGATTGGTTATTTATTATTTGCATTGACAGTGCTTCAGAGGGTGGTTGTGAAGTTTAATTGAGATAATACATAAAAATAAAACACAGAGACCATTTCCTGGCATATGTTAAGTGTTCAGTAAATGTTAACTTGTCCTTACATCCTGGAGATTGGTTCTTGTTTCGCTTTGAAGAAGATGGACAGGGAAACAGAGAGGGTGTCGCAGGGGGAATTTACCCAGCTCCCAGACAGAGCCCCATGGGATGGTGTTTATTCTGATGAGTTCATCTTGATTTGAGGTCTGGTCTTCATTCTCCTCATGCAGAAGCCTGATTTTATCAGCAACCTGAGAATGCAGCTATATTTGGGGGGTGTACTTACAGTACTGGACACCGGTGTGTGTGTGTGTGTGTGTGTGTGTGTAGAAAGAGAGAGAGAGAGAGAAGGAGGAGAGGGACTGAGAGAGAGCAAGTATAAGTTTAGAGTCTGGTAAGGATGACCTTTATATTTTTCAGTGAGGGAAACTATTTCTACATTGAAGGTTGCTGGGAGGAACAACACCACCAACAGTGACAAGAGGGTCTCAAGGGACCGTCCAGGTTTCAGCTCTCTAATACCAAGTCTGCTTTGCCAGTTACATCTGAAACAACCAGAGCTGGGTAGCACTATGGAGTCCTTAAGCCTCAAGGGGGCGCTCTAAGCTCCAGCTCTAGAAACCAGGCAAGAGCATCTAGCCAGGTCTTGTCTTTTGGGTATAAGCAAAGGCAGGGGATTTTTTGGAGAGAACAAGGTGGGTAGGTGGGTGGGCTGTGCTTCGGAGAGACTGGATTAGTCTGGGCATGTGTAGCTTGAGAAGTGCATTTGGGAAAATGGTTTTTACATCTCAAATTCTACAATTGAATATGATAATTAATGTGTGTGTGTATACGTACATATATACATGTATTTATATATATAATATATTTCTGACTATAAAGTTAAACGTCTGTTGTAAAAATTTCAAATATTAGAGAAAGTATAGCTTTTAAAGTGAAATCCCTAGCTGCTCCCCACCCCCTACCCACCCAAAAGCACTGTTAAGAGTTTGGTGTGTTTGCTGTGATTATACTCACCAATTTGCTAGCAAAATAATGAACTATATGTGTATAGGAGCACATGCCTACGTATTTCCACATAAATATGAATGCCAACATTTAAATTCACAGAGGTGACCTGAGCCATACAGGTGACTGAAAGCTCGTGTCATGTGGTCTGCTGCATTCTCTTCCCAGGAGCAAGGAGCACAGAAAGGCAAATTATCAGAAATTTGTGAGGTGAGTGTGGAAACAAAACAAGGGGAGTGAGTTAATCTTCTGAAATGTTTCCAACTAAGAGAGCGCCCCCTTTCCTCCCATTAACACACCAGGGAACTAGTATCTCACGGAGCACATTTTGGAAAATGTTGACCTTCTCTGCCTGTGTCATTTTGAGACTCCTTAAAGCAGAAATTATTACCGGGTTATATTGTTCCTTTTTAAATTCTTTGCATTTGGGTGAAAATTAATTTTTTTAACCTACCTATGGGTTCTTTGAAAAGATATTTAATGACCTATTTAAGGTGGTTAAAACCATCATATTAATTTTTTACTCATTTTTTAAAAGAGAGTTGGAAAATATGAATTTCTAGTAGCAGTTATTTAAAATAAACTGACAGGTCAAAAACCTATTAATATTAATAAATCTAAAAGTAAACTTTGCCATTAGGAAAGATGGTACATAAGAGGGAGAAGGTCAAAAACCGTATCATCTCCCTCATTAACTAGTAGATAATAACAACAACAAACAAACACGTAGAGACAGAGATTGGATTGGTGGTTACCAGAGGGGAAGGGGGGAGGGAGGAGGGCGAAAGGGATAATTCGGCACATGTGTGTGGTGATGGGTTATAATTAGTATTTGGGTGGTGAACATGATGTAATCTCTGCAGAAATAGAAGTATAATGATGTTCACCTGAAATTTATACACTGTTATAAACCAATGTTACTGCAATAAACAAAAAATTAAAAAAAAGGAAAGACGGTAAATATATAAAATGTTTCTTTAAAAACCGCCATTATTCCTATATCCTTCATGTAAACCTAGAAGTGTGAGTTGTGATTACTTTCAGGCATGTAATACAGGGACAGATGACAAATGGCTCCTCTGGTACCAAACTGTTCTTCATCTCATCCACTAGAGGGCACCTGAGAGTTGTTCAACAAAAGCACTCCAGAAACCACAGTGAAAAATCTGCCCTAGAAACCACAGATATAAAGGGCTATAAATATAGATCTTTTGGTGAGGAGGATTGGCCCTGAGCTAATATCGATGGCAGTCTTCCCCCATGTTGTATATGGGACGCCGCCACAGCATGGCTTGATGAGTGGTGCATAAATCTGTGCCGCGAGTCTGAACCTGCAAACCCCAGGCCGCCGAAATGGAGCGTGCGCACTTAACCACTGTGCCACCAGGCCACCCCCTATATATATATTTTTTAACACTTCTGGCGCATTATTAACCAAACTTAGTTTGCTAAAAGATAGCCACATGTTTTTTTCCTCTAAATTACACAATTTTGACATTTCTGTTTGTAGGCTGATACTCACTCTTGAAACAATTGTTGGATTTTGCCTAGAGAGGAGGGTACTGTGTATTTTACAATATATTAAACAAGGGTGCTTTTCTAATGAAAATTGTGGTATTTAAGTTTGCTAGAAAAGGCTGGCAATTTTACTATCATAATCCCAGAATTGTTTCTCTATTTTGTATAATTCGTATATTACTTAATTGGCTCCCCCTGAACAGTCTCATGAAAGATGCAGAATGTTATTTTTTTGTCATTAGGTTCACTTTCTACTTCTCATTCGCACTCCATGTTCCAGTAAAAGCAAATCACTGTACTGCACATTAAAACTAGAAATTGGAAATAGTCCAAATGGCCAATGGCCATTTGGGAAATGGCCAATGGGAAAGCCGGCAGTGGTGCGATATGGCAATGTATATTAATCTATTAATTATAGGCTATATAAGTTATGATACTAACGCGATAGTGTTAGGAATGCATTTACAAAAATGTGCTGACCATCCGCTAAGGATCAGCCGTGCTCTATGGAGGATGAAGAAGAAATGAATCCTAGCTCTTGAGGACGATGGAATTTGGTGTGTGTGTGTGTGTGTGTGTGTGTGTGTGTGTGTGTGTGTGTGTGAAGAGACCCATGATTGATCTTAGAGGGTAAGGATCCTAAGCATGGGCTCTGGAGTCAGAAATTCAGGCTCTCCTACTCCTTTGTTATATGACCTTGAGAACCTTATTTCACCTGTCTCTGAGCCTTCATTTTCTCATCTGTTAAACGGGGGTAATCATCTGTCTAATTTTATTGTGGAAATTAAGTGGGCTCATGAGGTAACTGACACCTATATGATGATGGGGTTCAGTACACGATGGTGGTGTGGTGGTTTGTGTTATTGCTGTTTTCTGTGTGTCACAGGGAATCGATGTGTGACACCATGTGTGACAGGTTGTCTCTCTGGCCACCACCAGGATGAGAAGGAAGCTCTATTCCAGGGCCAGATGATTTCTCAGCTCATACAAGCTTCAGTCACCTCCTGACAGTCCCTTCTTCTGGATATCACAGTGGTTGGGGCTGCCCGGCGTGTAGAAACTCACCGAGAAGGAATCCAGCCTCCCTTGGGCTGCTCTGAGCTTGTTTCTGCTTTAGATGCCTCAAGGTCCAGGGGTCAAAGCGGGCATCTTCAGGTGGATCCTTCCTGTAGACCTGAGGGCCAGTGTCGACTGCTGCTCCCACTCGGGCTAGCGGACCTTGGACAGAACCTTCTTCACAGAGAAATGGGCCTGGGGCCCAGGGTGGCAGAGTAAGTGTTTCTCAAGCAGAGCTTCGAGTGGTGCTGAAATCCAAGGAAGCTGCTGAACCACGAGTCAGATGGGGAGCTGCGATCAGAAAGCTAGACAGTGAAATCCAGATGGGTTGCCAAGCCAAGGTAGGCAGAAGCTGTGCTGAGATCCGAGATGTAGAGCAGGCATTGGAAACCAGGGGGAGGAGGGCAGAGAACAGCGGTACATTAGTCACCAGCCACTGTTCCTGATTCTGGGAGCTTATATTCCAATAAGCTAATTTCCCATGCTGGTAAGTGCTATACAGAAAGATAGCACAAGATATTGCAATAGGGTTCCTGGGGAGGCTGTTGTAGCTAAGGTGGTGTTCTAGGCAGGAGGAACAGCAAGGGCAAAGGCCCTGAGGCAGAAATGACATTTGAAGGTCATTGTAGCTGGAGTATAGTGAAGAAGTGAGAGGTATAAGGAAATTGGTTTAGAGGGGGAGGCGGGGGCAATGTCATGTAGGATCTTGTAAGCCATAGTAAAGAGTTTGGATTTTATCAATGCAATGGGAAGCTATTAGAAGTTTTAAATAGGGAGAGGAATTTGGCATAATCTGATTTCCACTTTAGAAGGCCCACTCTGACTGTTGTGGGGAGGATAAAGTATAGTAAAACGAGAGTCTTGTACAGGAAAAGTCCTGGATCAAGGAAGAAGCGGGGACTGCGGGGTCCAGTCAGACACAATTCCTGTGAGGGGGCCTGTGGAAAATCTGTGTCAAATCTCTCTCCCTTTTCTCCAACCCTGAGGGTGTACTTGTACTTAAACCAGGCCAGTAGGTGGGCCTGCTCTCTTGACTTTTTCTCCCCCAAGAGCCTGGGTCCTGGGGGTTTGTTTATTCAGATTTCTAAATACGTACAGGTCAATGTAAAATTTTGAGAGAACACGACTTGGGGCTGCTAAGATGGGGCTTATGCTACACAACTCATTCTGTTTTAGCACAAATGAAGAGAAACAGCTCAGAGTTTTTTAAAAAGTGGGGAGGGGGGAGAAGTAGGTTGATTAGGTAGCATTTCAGTTACAGTCATGTGTCGCTTAACCATAGGTGAAGGGGATGTGTTCTGAGAAATGGGTTAGGTGATTTCACCGTTCTGCGAACATCACAGAGTGTCCTTACACAAACCTGGGTGGTCTAGCCCGCTACACACCTAGGCTCTATGGGACTAATCTTTTTTTTTTGAGGAAGATCAGCCCTGAGCTAACATCCGTGCCAATCCTCCTCTTTTTGCTGAGGAAGACCCACTCTGAGCTGACATCTATTGCCAATCCTCCTCCTTTTTTTTCTTTTTTTTCCCCAAAGTCCCAGTAGATAGTTGCATGTCGTAGTTGCATATCCTTCTAGTTGCTGTATGTGGGACGCGGCCTCAGCATGGCCGGAGAAGCGGTGCGTCTGTGCGCGCTGGGGTCCGAACCCTGGGCCGCCAGTAGCGGAGCACGCGCGGTTAACCGCTAAGCCACAGGGCCGGGCCCTGTGGGACTAATCTTATGGGGCCACCGTCAAATATGCAGTCCAGCGTAGACCAAAACGCTATGCAGCACATGACTGTAGATGAATTGGGTTAGTTATTTAAAGATATAACTTAAAGTATTTAAAAAAGAATTATAATAGCTACAGCTTAGTGAGTGCCTACCATGGGCTAGGGGCTTTATAAATGAAACAAAAAAACAATTATTGACGTAGGAGTCTTTTTCCTACTGCTGCGCATTTCAAAAGGACTTTGGTTCTGGGTTGATCCATGTGAGTCTTGGGATGCAATCTGGTTACAAAAGTATTTCTTTCTTTACTTCCCTGCAAGCTAGGCATTGGCGTCGTCACAGGTTGCAGATGAGGTGACTAAAGTTTAGGGAGGTTGTATACCTGGTCCAGTTGAGAAATAAAGCAGGAATTGGAATCCGGGGCTATCAGACGCCGGAGCTCCCGCTGGAGCCACTCACACACCTGTGCAGGTATGGCGCAGAGAGCAAGCGCGTGGACCGTGGTGTCGGCGGGGCTTGGTTGGAATTCCACCTCATCATTTGCTGGCTGTATCACCTTGGGGTGGTTCCTGAACACCTGTTCAGGAGCCTGTTTCTTTGTCTGTAAAACGGGAGTAACAGCAGCCCCTCCTTCAGAGTTTGCTCTGAAGATTGTGTGAGCCGTATATCGTGGACCTGGCAAATGGAAGGGCCCCGTAAATGTTCGTTATTATGACAATACACCTGGCTGCCTCTGAGAGGGGCTCTCTGGCATCTGTCTGAGCCAGTTTCACCGTCAGCATCAGAGACATATTTCCTGCCTTGGAAATGTCTCATCTAACGGATCGTGTCCGCGTAAGTCGCTCTGCACTGCTCCGAACGCCAGGCCCCTGAGACGTGCTGTGGATGATGATAGCACCTGACGGTATGAGTGGGTCTGATGGCTTTTCCACAGGGCCGGCATTTCAGTGGTGACTGTAACTGCTTTATGGCAATAGGAAAGATTTATTTTCGGACCCCAATCAACCCTCAGCTGCGTTTCTCAAACTCCAGCTACATCACGAGATGCGGAAGTCGAGCAGCGTGAACGTCTGGTCAGAGGTGCTGGTGGCGTCTGCAGATGTGTTGAAGGACCCACGTTGTCCAAGATTGCTTTGCGGTGCCTTTGCCCTGAGCCCTGCTTGCCCTATAAGGCCCAGTTGGTGGGGAAATTCAGCTGTAAGCTCACCTGGAAGGCAGAAGAAAGACAAAAAACTGTTCTGTTCAACTTGACAGGAGCTCGGGACCTTGGGCTGGGGTAAAGGAGGCCACCTGGTGAGGGAAGGGACTAGCAACGCTCTCCCCCCGGATCCAAGGAGGGCAAAGGAAAAGATCTCCCGTAATTAAAAAAATTAAACATAGAGGAGTAATCTTTGAATGTGGACAATTGCCTGGCCCCTAAGGAGGAACCAGGAGTGGGGCGGGGCAGAGAGGAAGGAGGGATTTTCTATCAGGGGCTGTCCGTGAGGTAAGCTGTCAGTCCTTTCCAACTGGTTTGCGGGACCAGATTGCTTGGCCTGAAGGTGAAGAATTGTGTGCTTGCTTCCACTGGGGTCTCTTCTAACCAGTTTGTTCTCACTCAGTTGGAAGAAACTGAGACAGCCTGGCACAGAGTAAAAGCCGCATCTTCAGGGGACTTCTTGTGTCTTGCAGCTCTGAATGTACCTATTCTCTCAATCTTGGTGACACGTGGAGTTGGGCAGGCCTGGTTCAAATAGCGGTCCAGTCATGCACCTGCATTGGCGCCTCGGGCAAGCTACCTGACCTCAGTTTCCTCATCTGTAAAATGGAATTCATAAAAGAACTTACTTCAATAATACATTCAATAATATGTGTGTAATGAAAAGTAAACCCAAACTGACATAGACACTTCTGCCTTTTCAGGGCGGTAGGCATGCTTCATATCAGCGAGGAAATGGATTTTCCTCTGTGCCCTTCCCCGGAGAGGGAAGTGAGAGAGAATGCACCAGCACAGGGTTGGGTGGGCGGCCTGCTGTTGAACAGAGCATAGAAATGGGGTTTGGATACACCACGGTGGAACTGGAGCTGAACACGGCTAGAAAGGATGGAGAGGGCCGAATTGCTCTGCCCAACAAATAGTTTTCGGGGTTTCTGATGGCCAGTGAGAGAGAGAGGAGAAAGAGAGGTGGCCCAAGCAATCCTGCGGAAGGCAGAACTTAAAGGGCTGGGAGAGCCCAGCTGTTCCTCAGTTTACATGTTTATATATGTCAAAGCACTTAGAATAATTCTTGGCACCAGTGAGCATTTAATAAATGGCAGCTAGTAGCCGTGTAGCAAAGCTGTCTCATTGCTGTCCTCTAATGGCCTCTCTCCCCAGAGGAATAGTGTCAGCTCTCTCTTGCGTGATGTGTGTGTGTTTGTGTGTGTGTTGGGGGAAGGGAGACATACAGCAAAGAGAGATGTAATGGGTTCAAATTCTGGTTCCACTGGGTTTATTTCTCTGTTTCTTTAATTTTCCATCTTGAAATTGGGGCAAAAAATGGTACCTTGTCTCATATGATCAATATGAAGTTTGAATGCGATACTGTAGTTAATTCCTGCACCGCGCACTTGGCCTCCAGGAGCTGTCGGCTCTCACGAGTAGTCTATAGTAATAGCCTTATGAAGATGGTATACTGTCCTAGAAGATGTGCTTTGTGGTTTATTTTAAAATTCACATGTATATTCAATGCAAAAAACATAGAAAGAACACAGAAAAACATAAACCACTCCACTAAAAGATCACTGGTGTTGACATTTTGGTTTCTGTCCTTTTGGTTTTTTTTTCCTCCCAAGTGTATGTGCATCTTTGTTCTATCTTTTCAAAATGGGATACTGTTCCATAGTCTGCTTTTTTTTAACCTCACAATAGACTGTGAACTTCTCCCCATGGATGAGCTGCTTCTTAAAATAGACGTTCCAGTGGAAGCAGCCGTACCCTAGGCTGGTAGGGTCATTACCATTCTTCTTTTTCAAAAGGAGAGGGGCGGCTATGGCCGCCCAAATCTGGGAAACACTGCACATTATGTTTCCTTCTTCGAAAATTAACAGCACACATGAGCATGTTAAAGGCTCTGAGAAGCCCTTCCTTAAGGAACCTGCTCAGCTTTGATTACATCGGTGTTTCCCAAACTAATTGAGTGCTGCAGAGCCATCTATTCCCATAATTCCTACGAATGCCTCAGGAATCATCTGGGGAAACGGGGCTGCGAGCTGCAGATTCCTAAGAGTAAGAAGCAGGTCTTGTTTATCTTCGTTATTTTCACATAGCCTTACAATTGGGTTTTTAAGAAATTATGAAAAATGGGATTGGACGGATCAACCCACTGCTAACCAACAGTTGCACACGTGAACTGGGGGCCAAGGTTAGAGGCAGGGGCTGTGCTCCTAAGTGTCTCTCGGCCTAAAGCTAATTGGCCCCTTTGGGGATGAACCTGTGAACTTGGCCTCGTTAGCGCCAGCACAAAACAGCTGAGGTAGTTTATCTGGGGCTATGAAGTTGTTTTGTTACCCAGATTCGCATACTGCCCTCCAGGTGGCAATGCTGGTTTGTCAGCCTTCTGAGAGCCTGCCGCTGGGCCCAGCAGAGCTTGGAATTGAGAGGAAGCAGACGCCGATGAGGAGCGGAGTTGGGAGTGGAGGGATTATTGAAGACCACAAGACACGCTGGCAGGTTTGCGGTTGGCTTGAAGCTGAGGGGCAACCTCACGCACTGGGTGTCGGACACAAGATTTTTAGAGAGTCTTGATGGACCAGTAAGCCAACCGTCAATATCACTAGCGTTTGTTGAGCACCAACTATGGGGCTGGCAATATGCCAGGTAATTTCATTCCTAATTCCTTTTAATCCGCCTACCCCTGCCCCCAACAGACCTTTGAGGTAGGCCCTGCAGCAGAACTGGAAATTCAAGCCTGGTTCCTGGTGCTGTATCTGAGTGCTCTGCTGGACTGAAACAGGAAGGTATTCACCAAAGATGAAGAAATGCAAAATGTTTATCCATCTATCTATCTATCTGTTTTTTATTTCATTTGCACAGGATGGGCCTAATAGCACTTCAGGGTTTTTTTTTTTAAGTTAGCCGTCTGCTAAATAAATTAATTACAGTCCTGGGCTGCATTCTTAGAATTATAACATTTAGATCAGAGTGGTGGTGGAATTTTCTAAACTCAGAATTTTTAGAATTCTTTTACTCTTTTTGTTCTAGCAGTCATTATGCAAGATGAACATGGCCATACCGAATGGCTCCAGAGTGGCCAGTTTAAAATTCAGTTGTACGAGTGAGTGGTTCCGTTGCCTTCCCATGTCCCCGTGACAGCACTTGCCGCCGAGGACATGCTGAAATCTTTTCTGTAAATGCCTCCTTTCCCCAGTGGCCCCTGCATTTCTTGAGGGGAGGAACTCTCCCCTTCATTTCTGTATTCCCAGGGCCTCGCAAAGGACCTAATGGATAGGAAGTCATTAGTCAAGTTTAAATGAATGGGTGAGCGACTGACTGCAAGGTGTCTCCTGCAGAAATGTTGGAGCGGGAAGTGAGGT